TGTGGAAATAAAGTCTGTTCAACTTGAGAGAGTCTGCGCAAGTCTGTACCCATCTGCCTGGCCACGTGCTGCGCTGCTAAGTGACACCCCTGCTGGCAGTGTTCCCTCTAAGCTGAGTTAGTGTGAGCTAGCTTACAGTTTTTTAGCCTTTGGCTCACACATGTTTGTCTTAGCTCAGGAAGGATGGCTCCAGAGCAAACCAATTCATGCAGTAGCCAAATCGCTCGCTCACAACTTTAATGCCAGTAGCTCACAAAGTAGAATTTTTGCTCACAAGACTCCACAGCTTAGAGGGAGCATTGCCTGCCAGGCTGTCTTTGGGCAACTCAGGTGAAAGAGAGGGGGGGTAGGCTTACCCGAAGTGGGGGAAACCATAGTAAAGGGGGCAAAACAGTGGCTAGTCTTCCCCTACAACAGACCATGACACAAGTCCCCTCTCTAGAGACACCTCTTCCCTATCTCTTTAGGAATGCTGACCTTGGCTAGTCACATGCTCTGAGCCTAACCTACCTCACAGGGATGTTGTGAGGATGAAATTGGGGGAGGACACCATTGGGGAGAAATGCATGGTATAAACACAGTGAACACATAAAAAAATAATAGGAGCATATCTCCAAGCCCCCCTTCCCAATCTTTCATCTGTCCCCCCAGGAGCTCTGCTTACCGGTGGGAGGAGGAGGAGAAGATTGGATTGATGCCCCACCCTTCACTCGGAGTTTCAGAGTGGCTTACAATCTCCTTCCCTTCTTCTCCTCAAAACAGACACCCTGTGAGATAGGAGGGGCTAAGAGAACAGCTCTGAGAGAACTGCCCTTGAGAGAACAGCTCTGAGAGAACTTGTGACTGACCCAAGGTCACACCAGCAGCTGCATGTGGATGAGTGGGGAATCAAATCCGGTTCTCCCACATTAGAGTCCGTGCTCTGAACCACTACACCAAACTGAGGCTGCTTTGTGTGTTTCCACCTCGACTTCTTTTGCACACGTGGTCCCCTGGGTGGAGTACAGCCATTGGCACCACAATAAACAAGAAACTGTTGGAAGTTTTTTTGGGGGTGGGCTGTTTCTAAAGCCCATGAGGGGCTGGCTTGTGTCTCTTTGGGGGGTCCAGAGGAGCCACTGCAGATGCATGCGGGGGAGTGGGACTCTCACAATCCACCCTTGTTCACAGTCCAGAGGGTATGCAGCCCCTCCCCAGGAAGCTCCAAGAGGAACAGGACAGGCAGAGGAGGTTTCAAGGATCCAGATCACCTTTGCTTTCACCCCTCTGCCTCTTTTGCCTTAGGGCCTACCCTGGTTCAGTGGTAGAGCCTCTGCTTGGCATGCAGAATATCTCAGGTTCAATCCCTGGCAGCAGCTTCAGTTTAAAAAAGGATCAGGTGGGAGGTGATGGGAAGAACCTCTGCCCGAGACCCTGGAGAGCCGCTGCCAGTCTGAACAGACAAGACTGCCTTAGAAACACAGAAACCATAGAGCTGGAAAGGACCCCTAGAGTCATCTAGTCCCATCCCCTGCACCATGCAGGAAATCCACAGCTATCTCCATTCTCACTCCCCCAGGGCCCCCTGCTCTGTGCCCATAGAAAGGCAAAAGACCTCCAGGATTCCTGGGCCAATCTGGCCTGGAGGAAAGGTCCTTCCTGATCCCAAAGTGGTGGTGATGGGTCTGACTCTGGGCATGCAAGGAAGGGCCACTCTGAGAGCCCCTTTGCGCCCTCTCTCGATCTGCCTAAATTCACAGAATCTTCATTGCTGTCAGGTGGCCATCGAGCCTCTGCGGCTTCAAAACTTCCAAAGCAGAGCCCAATACTTGAAGAGGGTGGATCATACCACCTCTCAGTTGTCTCCTCTCCAGGCTAAACCTACCCAGCTCCTCCCACCTTCCCTCATGGGACTTGATCTCCAGACCTCCCCACAGCCCCCAGGACTGGCGGACAAGCAGTAGGCTGATGATCCAATACAACGTAGCAGCTTTGTGCACCTCCGTTTATCTGCCACTTGGGCTGTGTTCTGGGGCTCTTCTGCTCAGCAACAGATATGTCAGCACCCAGGCCTTTTCTCATTGGCTGACTGGGTCTCATTGTCCTTTGCACAAATCCCCCCCACCTCCCTCCTTTGCCTCTGCCCCAACCAGAAATAGGATGCCTTAGGAGCAGCAGGAGGACAGGGGGATGCCATTGCTGGCATCAGTTCTGTGCCCCTCTGATTCCTGCGCTCTAGGCAGTTGCCTAGGTTGGCCTAATAATAGCACCGACCCTGCAGGTATGTGTGGAGCCTTCTGTGTATGTGATGCCTCACTAAGAGGCTCACTCATGAACCTGCTCAAAGATTCCAGTAAATTCTATCCAGCCATTTAGCAGGTTGATGAAAAATTCTAGAAAAGCATTTAATATGCCAAGACAAGTATACCGTGTTGTTTGTGTGTTAAATACTATTTAAAGAAAAGATAAGTATTATTTGAATAAGTTAGAGAATTGTTTTGACCGGGTAGTAAAACAATTTGGAGGTAAAATCAGGGTCAGCTATATTAATAAAAATAATAAAAGTATGTAGCTTACCAAATTTTGACACATGAATTGCTTCAGAAATTCTGAGATTCTTCTGATACCAGTCATGCTCTCTGTCATGCTTAATTTGTTAGGCTATTAATTCATGTGAAAGTGGAAGGTTTACCGGTATGAATTTACTCAAATGACATAAGAACAACTGCCACAAGGGGGCAACAAACTACAAAGCAATGTTGTAATTTCTAAATTTGCAATGATTGCACGTTTCACAATTTATTCATGTTAGGCGTTCTGTCAATCCACTTATGCTACCTTTTGTGAAAAACTAGTAGCCCATGCTGGACGTCAATTAAGCAGCCTTTTAAAAATATAGACTCATCATAATAATTGGGTATACTAGTATTTAATAGACATTTCAAGGGAAACAAACCACAGTCCTTCAATTTGTAACTGTCAAAATATAAAGTGTGGAAGCCAGGTACTAAATTATACTTTATATATGTCTTGGCTTAGCAAAGCTTTTAACTTCCTCCCTCACTGTCAGATATTACACTCATAACTGTTATGTATGAAGGAGTGGAAAAAGAGGAGTGAAGGGGAAAATAAAAGGGGATGACCATTTAAAGGAAGACTGTAGGAAATTCCCAGCCTATTCCATACCCTAGCAGCTAGGTTGTCCCAGATCAGACATTACACAGCTGATCCCACAAAGCATGGTTTGGAGCAATGGGAATGTCTTCTTCCTCCCTTTTCCTTATCCAGGTTGTTGTGATTGGAGTTTACTCTGATATCTGAATCTGGTGGCTATAAGTAGTAATCAGAGTTGAATACTTTGGATATCATGAAAAACTATGGTCAGAGGCCAACTCAGAAAAGGGAAGATGTTGGAACGTAAAATTCCAAGGCATGTTCCTCATTGTCCAAATTATGGGTTGGATACCATATAAATAAAACAACAGTTTTTATTTAAAGTAAAATCCCAAAGCTAAGAGTTTGGTAAGACATTAGAAAAATATATGTTCCTTATGTCTGAGACAGTCAAACAGCCTGAACCAAAAACCACACTTAACTTGTATTTTTTTTCCTTTTGAAACAAGAACCATTTTGGGGGTGGGGAAACTATCTAAACAAAGCAGATCTTTCTACTGTATCCTCAGTAACTCGGACAACTGGTTTAGAATATGAGTAATGGTGGTGGTACTCACGCTGGTCCCAACCAGAATGAATATAGGAACAATTTTATACATTTTGGGTTTGTTTAGGCTTCTATATTATTCAGTCTTCAAGAGCTAGAAAGCAGCAGGCAGGACAGAGACCTGCTGCTTTCATGCTGCAATCCATTGTAGAGCAGGCTGTGAAGGTAAACAGCTTGGTAAAGGCAAGCAAGGGGATAGCATTTCTGTGCACTGTGGAGTGCTTCCTGCATGCTCAGCTAGTCTCTGTAACTCCTAAAAGATGTTGTTGAAAGCATTTCTTTCTGACCTTTAACCTGCGGATCAGTGTATACTAAATTTACAGAATATAAAAATAAAGTGTATACTCTTTACTAAATGGTGAGTTCTTTGACGGGCTGTATCTGTAATGGTTAGACCTTTATGATCCAAAGCCAGTGCAGAGTACAGTAGCCTACCAGTGTCCATATTCTGAAAGGAAAGAGACAGGAGATTTCACAATAGAGGAGGTGGATGTTGACTGAGCAAGAGAATGCATGTATTTTTAATTTTTAAAATATGATATATTAAATTTCCATTATGTGTATTTGAGATTCAAATATTTCTGAATATGCTCCTTTCCTCTCCCTAAAAAGCCTCTTTAACTCAGGTGAGGGGCTTCTACTAGTTATTTGGAATTGTTTTTACTTTTTTCCATTGTACAGTTGATCTCCCATACCATATTACAATATTCTTTTGAAACTCCCTTTGGATCTAGAACTCCCTTTGGATCTATACATTACACGAGTAGGGCTTCTATTAGAGGAAAAATGTGTAAAGCCTCTTTGAGCAGTCAAAACTAGTTTTGTGGTTCTTTGGATCTTGGCCATCTTATTCCTTTCCTCTGTGTTTCTAAATCTTGTTGGATAGCTTGGGTAAACCTAGATGCAGCATTGGGATGACATCAATCACCTTATCAACATGTGCTGTTCGGAATCATAATGTGGTTAGTTCTGGTGTGCCTGAGTGGCTACCAAGTCTCTGTTAACCCACCAGAACCAAACTGGAATAAACAACTTCAGTCACAACTGAACCCTACCGGAAATCAACCCAAGAAATATCATAACACCTGATATGTGTGCATACTATGTGAAGTGTATTTAAGAGTATTGTGTGAATACTAAGGCCTTTCATATAAAGTTAGGTAAAACAGTTTTCTCCAGCTACTTCTGTAGGACAGCACTGGGTTTCTGTTTGATATCTTTGGTACTCTAAAAGTCTTACCCTCTGATTTGATATAAGCAACTTGTCACATTAATTTCCTTCTTTTTTATTTTGTTATAGGCTGCGAGCTTTGTCTAGCGGTGGAAGTGTGACATCTCCACCTCTATCTCCAGCTTTGCCAAAGTATAAATTAGCAGATTACCGCTATGGGAGAGAAGAAATGTTAGCACTTTTCCTGAAAGATAATAAGGTAAGTAGCAATAGAAGGGTTGTTTGGTAAATGTGGGAAGTGGTGTATTTAATACCCTATCAGGGAGAAAACAATGCTTATTTCTAGGATAAAAATCAAATACCAGAGAGAACTGAGACAAAATCATGCAGTCAAGTAAACCCCATATATATTATATTCTGTAAAATATCTTAAACATTTTGAAAATACGTCCAAGCTATTTGTATTCATAAATCCATATAACTCAGCACAGTATAAACTAATACATTAAGTAGTTGGAAGGTACTAAGTGTGATTAGTCCAACTGTGAACTGTAGTTCTTGTGGGAAGTGACAGATTATGCAGACATATAAATTAAAAAAATATTTTTTTAATAGGCTAAATGTGTGACTTTTTAAACTGTGTGATTTTGTGTTTTGACTATATGCTTCTTGTGCCACTGTGCAAGTGCATGTGTAAAGGGCACTGCTTGTTATTCGAGGAGACACAGCTCTCTCTGTTCTGGAAGAAGAAGCTATATATGTCTGATCTTAAACATTCCCCAGAAGAAGCTGGGTGGAATATTGTGAGGATTTGTATGATGTACTTTTGACTACTACTACTACCACCACCAACAATAATAATAATGGTCAGTGCCTACAGTAAAATTGCTTAAACGGACTATAAAGAATGTAATGATAGAGTTGCAGCTATGTTGCACTGGAATCTGTGCAAGAAGAATGGCGTACCATCAACCAGAAATTCATGGGAGCACAAACCAAGAAAGATCATGGAGAATGATGAAACGGAGATTCTTTGGGACTTTCTACAAACAGACACCTGGAGCATAAATTAAAAATGAGAAATAGGTTTTGGATCATTGACACTGCAATCTCAGAAGACAGCCAATAGAAAAGAAAGAATAGGAAGAGATCACAAAATACCAAGGCCTATGGATAGAGTTAGAGCGTCTCTGGGAGAAGAAGGTGACCATCATGCCAGTTGTCATTGGAGCCCTTGGAGCAGTGCCTAGAAGTCTCAATAAACACCTAGACATTCTGGGCATTGAGCAAATAACACCAGCTCAGCTCCAGAAAACAGTGTTGCTTGGAACCGCAAGAATCCTCTCTAATTCCCATGAACTTGGCTAGATCTCAAATTGCAGAATACCATCTAGCAGTCAAATATCTGACAGTGACAATTCATCCTCCTCTCCTCTCACCTCCTCAGCTTTGCTTTGTCTTTTGACTCCCAATAGAGTCAGTTTTGTATACTAAATAGTGGTGGTCTTGAAGTGGGGAGACCTGCGTTCAGATCTCATATCTCAGCTGTAAAGCTTTCTGTGGACTTTACAGCTTCTCAGCCTCATGCCCATTTCAGAGCTATTGCAATAATAAACTGGAATCAGTGTGGTGTAGTGGTTAGAGCATTGTATTAGGATCTGGTTTGAATCTCACTGTAATGGAAACTTGCTGGTTGATTTTGGGACAGTAAAACACTCAGCCTAACCTACCTCACAGTGTTGTTGTATGGCCAAAATAGGGGAGAACATCGTAAGCCACTTTAGGTTTCCATTGGAAATAAAAGTGGGCTATAAATGAAGTAAATAGACATCTTCCTGATCTAGACCCCAGTCTCAGATATTTGCTGCTTGCCCACCCGAGAGCACAATTATCCATCTTATCAAAGGCCCATTTCCTTTTTTGCAGCAATAGTAGCAAATTCCATATTCCAGTCTGCTCCAGTGCACTTCATTCCCGTTGACACTAATGTAGAGGGACTGGGCAGGAAAAACTGCTGTGGCATGCTGTAGCAGCCATCAGCAAACAGGTTCTTTTTCACTATAGGAACAGGGGTCATGAAGATGTTTTGTTGTTAGGGACCATGTGGGAGACAAGAACACTATTAACTGTAGTATTGGAAATGTTTGGTTTCTAACTATAGCTGGATAAATATTACAAGATGTAAAATGAAAGTAGAAACAAAATACTTTAAGTTCTACATGCTTTTTTGATCACAGTGGCTTTCTTTGGCATTTGTGTTTTGAGGTTCAGTGTTTTCCCCTTACCTCCCCCTCCCCAATTAACTTCCAGGTACCCTCAGACCTTTTGGACAAGGAATTTCTGCCCATTCTACAGGAGGAGTCCCTACCACCATTGGCACTAGTACCTTTTACAGAAGAAGAACAGGTTGGTCTCAAGTAAATGAAAAATGAGTTCTTTATAAGTCTTAAATTTGATTAATGGGAGAATGCTAGAATATGCAAATGCAAGAGCACATATCATACACATGTACAGACAGTGCTGACGTGATGTTGGTTGCATCTTTTGAGAGAAATGGACTCAGATGTGAAAGCTGATAGACTTATAAGAAGAAGGCAGGGCTGATAACTCTTGAGTTTGTACTGAGTGAGCAATCAATCTTTTCCTGGAACTTCCCTTGCATACTGCAAATTGGACTCCTAAGATTCAAGCAGTTGAGGCTGTATCACTCTAAAAGAAGGTGACTTCATCCCCCCCCCCCCCCCCCCGCACACATACGTACACAAGCCATCCCTTTCATTTTATGAGCTATGGGTGGTGAATAGAACATGGGGTAATCCCAGCACTGTGTGCCAAAAGCAGCAATTTCCACCTTCCCTTCTTGTTGCTCAGCTGTAAGGGGGAGCAGCCAGACATGGCTCCCCAGTTACAACAGCCAGTTACCAGCACAGAATGATAACTTGTCAGTTCGTGCCTTTTCCACTTTAGAGACAGCCTACATAGTGCAGTAAATAGGATATTGAGTGAGGAATGGGAAGACCTTGATGTAAATTGCTACTCAGAATTTGAAGCTCACCAAGTGGCCTTAAGCCAACTGCAGTCTCTCTTTCCTGTGTACTCTTTCCTGAACTTATAAGAAGGCAACTCAAGTAAATTTTTAAAACCTCCAGATTTTCCTTCATTCCCTCACCAACAAGACAATGGCATTTCAAGGAATCTCCCACTCTCCCAAATTACAAATGAGGACCTGAGGAGAGCACATGGAAGACAAATATTAGTAACCTTGCCTAGTGGGAAAAAGAAACTTTAGCACAGACGAGTTCTGTGCTGTTGACGTTAATACAGCGGGGGGATAACAAGGAAATTTTGGATACTATGCTTGTGAAGCTGAAGAGGAAGGCAAATACATGATGTTGAATTTCACAACTTATTTGGAATATGAGTAAAGTCTTGTCTAGATAGTTACACATATTGCCTCAACACAGTAAGTTTTATGCTGTGTTAGTTTTTAATAAAAGGTGGTAGCAGGATACTGTCCTAGAACAAGTAGAATAGGTGCTAAAACTTAATAGCTGTAAAGAAAAAAGTAGTAGGTTTACCAGTTGTGATACAAATGATGACCTGTGACATACATCAGTAACCATTTGGAAGATTATTTTACTGATGATAAACAGCTCATGCTAATCTTCAAAAGAGGGTGAGCTTTTTTTTTTTTTTTTTTTTTTGCAAGAGCGCAATCGTTGTGCAAGTACTTTTCCAAGTTGGTGAAACGTCATAGGTTTGCAAACTGCCTGGGACAAGTAGCAATTGTTCTAAGGCAAGCAGTCATGACAAGCCAGACGTACCCTGCCTCTGGGCTGTCCATGCTGCCTGTTCTCACCCTTTACGAAGGTACTGCCAAATCCCTGAGGGTGCTCCATAGAAGCTGCTATAGTGCTGAACTGTATTTCTTCAGTGTGGAGTAAGCAGCTGTTCTCTGTGCATATACACATACACAAGTGCTCCCTTTTTCCCCATCTGTAAAATATTCCTGGTGTAGTGGTTAAGAGCGGCGGACTCTAATCTGGAGATCCGGGTTTGATTCCCCACTTCTCCACATGAAGCCATCTGGTTGACCTTGGGTCAGTCACAGTTCTCTCAGAGCTCTCTCAGCCCCTAAAAACAAGTCTAGTGGTGCATAATTCTAAGAGCTAGAACTTGCAGCTGCCAGACAATCTTCGGATCTCCTGGCTATTCTACACACAATGCCATATAATTATTATTAATTATAATTGGATTTCTAGCACCCAGAGTGAGAAAAAGAGATAGCTGTGTTCACAGTTAGCATCATGCTGAGCTTTCTCGGTGGTATGGAACTAGGCTGCCTGTCATTCCCAGTTTTAAAGGGCTTTTATGGATGCTTTAAAATTTAACTGTGGTAGCAGGAAATTAGAGATGGGGTGGTAGGTCAGGTTTTGCAGCATAGCTGCCCTGCTTGGCTATGATTGTGGTAGTGTTAGCTCAGAATCATGACATTCTCACATATCCCCTTATACTTTGTGTTTAATTTGAAGAATTATTTTATAATGGTCTGAAATATTAAGAAACCAACCCATCATTATGTCATTCAACATAATTTCACTAGTCAATGTTACTAATAAAAGGACCATGTCTAAATAGGCATCTGATTGCTTGTTTTATACTTGTAGTATGGCTGAGTTGAAAAATAAGCCACTTCATGGTTCATCTAATCTGAGGATAGAAAAAAATCATTCTTCCTTGCCGTTGGGAATTTCCATCATAAAAACATGCAAGTGATTGCATGACTGATGTCCCCAATGTTGTAGAACATCCTTCTTTGAAAAATGAAATGCATATACAAAATTCATTTTGATAAAAATTGGAAGGTAATATAGTACTGGAAATTCAGATGCTTCCCTGGTCACTTGCTATGTGTCTCACATTTCTGTCCTTTCCTCCCTCTGGGGCATACACGATTTTCCATTTTATCGTCACAACCACTTGGTGAGGCTGAAAGTAATTTAGCCAAGGTCACTCACTGTGCTTCATGGCTGGATAAGGGTTTAAATCTAGGTGTCCCAGGTCCTATTTTGATGCTCATTTGCCATTGTATTCTACCATCTTGACTTGGTATCTCACATGGAAGTGATTTTAGTTGCACGTAATATTTTATACCTCAGCAAGGAAGCAGCAGGATAGGCCTGACTTTTATGATCTTGTTTTTATAAAATAATTCGCTCATGTTCCCTTTCTTTGGCAGAGAAATTTCTCTATGTCTGTAAATAGTGCTGCCGTCCTGCGATTGACGGGGCGAGGAGGAGGAACAGTGGTAGGGGCTCCTCGAGGTCGAAGTTCCTCTAGAGGCCGAGGTGAGATGTTTTGTGAACATAAAGTAACCTCATTGTAGTGGGAACACATGTTTTTGTAGAATTTAACAAAACTAAACCAGTTCACCTGATGTAAAGGTTTTGAGGATGTGTAATCATATGTGCCTTTCCTCTCTTTGGAAGAAAGATGGAATAAATGTTTTGAGTAATTAAATATAAGCCATTAAGCAAGAGAACCTGGTGCAAAGAACTGGCAAAGGCACCCAGTCCCCCCCCCCCCAAATGTACAGAGGAGAGAGAGTTGTGGTACTAATAGGTAACCAAATAGGTTATTACATGTGTCTTTTGTTCTGTTTTTACTGATATTCAACCACTTTTGATAAAATTAGTAATGGGAGAATATGTGAAGTGGCTTTTTGATAGGAACTGAGACAAGGTGTATTAAAACCGTGAGCTCAGAAGATAGGGCAGGTTATAAATAATGATATAGAACCACCGGCAGATGGTAAAAAAGGAAAATGAGACCCTATGTCCTAGTGCAATGTTCTTAAACTTGCTGTCCAAAATGAAGTAGTATAATGAATCAACCAAGCATTGAGAGGATACCTGCCCACCACCCCTGAGAAAACACAGAAACTTTAAAATAAGGTATGTATTAATTCAGCTAAATAGCCAGGGGAATGTCTGTAGAGACACTTGTTCATTGTATGGTCAGCTCCTATTGAGTTTACTCAGATTGTGATAGAATTGGGCAGTGATATTCCTGTACTGTTCCTACCACTGCAGGTGAAGTGATAACTTTCCAGCCAAGTTTGTGCTGTTTTAGAATGGGATAGTGGCAAAAAAGTAGGATGCAACATATCTTCGCTGTTAAAAGCAACAGAAATAACCACCATGTGATTATTCCCTCCACTTTTTCTAGTTTAACTCCTAATGGTTTCAGCTGGTATGAACCTGACTGGGAAGTCACAGTATAGTTTAAAGTGGGAAAGGTAATAAAACTACATATGAGAGGTGAAAGAATGGAATTATTCAGTATTCTGTTTAATTTGGGGTGGTAATGGAAATTTCTTAGCTTGGCTTCCTTCCCTTTAATGTTTTCACTAGAGAAATTAGACTGTAAAGGAGCCAGGGTAGGGAAATAGTGAAGAAGAGTGCAAAGTTTTGTATCTCCACCCATCCTTTGTGCTCTCTTGCTCTCTATGCATTAGATTCCACATGTGGGCCACCAATTCCCAGTCCCTTGTACAAAGCAGCTAGTACTTTGCTGAAAAACCGTGCTCTATAAAGAATCAATGAAGGCTGACTTCATGAGAAAATTATATAAATTCAATTTTGGCGAAGTGCAGGAATAAACCTCTAATCATGGTGATCCCAAAGGACCTTTGTAAGGATTACTAGATATTAACTGGAATAAACTGTCTATGTATTGATTAGGTGGTTTCACCTTATGTCACCTAAAATACTTTTTTTCTATTTAATAAAGTACCTTTAGTGGCTAGGCCAGTAATAATAGAACAGTGGCAAAAATGGATTCTTAGATTCATTGGGAAGGATAAAATTTCTCGAATAGCAGCAATAATGCTTTATCTGGGAATCCAGATTGGAGGGTTAGAAGTGCTTGATATTTTCAAGCAACTAGGCTTAACATGATGCTGAGATGGACAGCGAATGAAGCATTACCTAAGAGGAAACTGATTCTCATCTGGTTTCAAGAATGAAAATGAAGTTTGAATTTATATTTTTTGGTTTGAAATGATTTAAAGTCTCCTTTGAGTCCAGGTATATCTCCACTGATACCATTGAACAGCTACATGATTTAACCCTCTTAAGAAATATGCAGCAGTGGGAGGAGACTAACCAATATGGCATCAAACGCCTAGCAAAAAATAAGAAAATATTATCATATGATGAAATAGTAGTAAGGATGGGAGGAAAGCATTCAAATAGATGAGACATGTTTTATCTGCATTAAGTAAAACATATAATGACGTGCTAAGACCTGTTTTGAAAAAATGGTATGTGGAGAGGAAGGATCTTATTGAACCAAGAACACCTTAATTATAGATACTTAGTGAAATGGGTAAAGATCAGAAAAAGTACTGTAGTTGAATGAGTGGACCTAGGTATAGGAAGTAGTCCCTTAAAATTAATATCAACAATAGTTTTTTAAAAAAGTATAATGTTCGATTGATACCTGACCTGCCACAGATTAGCATTATGTACAAAACACCTGGAGATTTATGCTGGTGATGTCAAATGCAACTGCCAAGCAGTTTCATATAGTTTGAGAATGCTCTGTGGTTCAAACATTTTGGGTGCTAGTATTGAATTTAATACAGGTAATTACAGGGTGTAATATTCCACCTGACCCTAAGATGACTTTGCTATGTTACCTTTAGTAGTCAGGTGGAGGACTCAGATGTGCAGATGATATTAATTACTAATTTAATTGCAGCATGCTAGAAACAAATAGAATCTCCTACAATTTCTATTTGGTTGTACAGTATCATGTGGATTGCTTTTTTGATTAAATTAATGTATTAGGAATTTCTAACTGACTTTAATATTTATGGAGATAGGTTTATTGAAAGATGGTCTTTTATATTTATTGTTCCAAAATATAATTTAAAAGATGAGGCTTGATCTTATGTATTTTTCAAGATATTGTAATTCATTATTGTATATTGTTGTATATGTGTATATAATTAATTTCCCCCCAACACCATTTTATCTTTTCAGGCAGAGGCCGAGGAGAAAGTGGTTTCTACCAAAGAAGTTTTGATGAAATTGAGGGTGGTTTTGGCCGTGGAGGGGGCAGAGAAATGCACAGATCACAGAGTTGGGAGGAAAGGTAATTTCAGAAACATATAAAGCGATTTGCATCTTTTTTGGAACTTGGGTAATTGGCTTTGTTGGTACAATTCTGGCTCTCCTTGCAAGTTCACATTTGTAGGGGGCCTGATTAGATATGTATATATACCTATAAATGACAAAGCTGAATGTGACAAATCTATGCTTGTACTTTTGTAAGTTGAGTTGGGCTTCAGTTCTTTATAAAGGGGGGGGGGCTATTTTGAAAATCGTGAGGCTGTGAATCAACAGTAGAGTACAGATTTTTATAAGCACTACTGGATAAATGAATAACTAAAAATGAAATGAAAAATTGGATTGTATTGATGAATTAAAATACTAGCTTAACAAGATGTTATCCCATGGGGAATATTGGAAGGACATGGTTTCATGAAATCATTAATTAGTACAAGCCTATAATCAGAAAGAGAATTACTAACTATTGAAAATGTATTTGTGCTTTTTATAGAGAAATTATTTGAGAAGAGATTAAAGTCAATAAAGAACTAGGGATGTATGCCAAGAAACATTTTGTTGCAGTTTCATATCCAGGCTTTGGGAGGGAAAATTTTACTGTGATTGCTTCATTTTGAGTAGGGTGTTACTGGTTCAGGTAAAAAAAAATCTGTGTTGTGTTTTCATGTTCTAGATTTTCAGGACCATCTTCTGCACACTGCAGATACCATTTTTTTAATGCACAGCCAATTCAGGGGTCTCCCGCACAGCAGTCATGGCACATAAATGCAGTCCTCCCTCTCCCCTCCAGACCCCCCAAATCTTAGGCACATGTAGCAAAGCAGCTTTGTTTCCCTGGGTCCCAGTAAAGTAGCAAATTTCTGCACGCATGCTGCAGACATAGTTTTAATGCACAGCCAATTTGAGGGTCTCCTATGCAGCAAATCGTAGCACGCAATGCCACCAAAATCACATGGAACACAGTCTTCCCTCTCTTCTCCAAATCTCTCTCCAAATCTCAGCCACATGCTGTAAAAGTGGCTCTGTTGTAATGAGTCCTCAAAAAGTAGCTCATTTCTGCTCCTGTTGGCTTAGTAAACATCCAGGTTTGAAACTGTGTTTTTTTTTTGGAAGGGTAGTTTCATTTCACTAAGAATCCCAGATTCTTAATACCATTCTAGGAACCTGAGGCAATAACCCCAAACAGTGATTTTAATGTATAGTTTGGCTCGGGATTTCTGTTATAAATGCCCCTAGTAAGAACTATGGAACAAGTTCTGTGACCTCCAAGAGGCCTAATGGTTACTTCATGGTTTCAGACTTGTTCTGCTTGAACAGGAGGTATTTGCACTACACAGCAAACTGCTTTAAGTTTGAGGAGAATTTCTAAAGTAGTTGATGGTTTGACATGTGGGCCAACGGTACAAAGAAAAAAGGATAGGCACAGGCCTCTTGTGTTGAGTCTGATTGGTTCTTTGTATTCCACTCAAAGAAAACTAATCAGTTGAAACAGGTACAGTGATTGATCAAGATGAGGTTAGACCTCCTCTGAAATGTTGACTGAGAAAACATTGCTTATATTTTTGCAGTCAATCAATAGGGATTTTCACAATATTTATATTTTGTAAGTAACTTTGTTTTTTTTCAGAAGTAACTCAATTTTAAAATCTGATTGGATTAAAAAGCCAGGAAGGTACAAACATGGTGTAGTAGAGAACTTCAGATTAAAGACAGAAAGAACATGGATTGCTTTTCCCACTGCAATTGACAAAATTGAAGGAATAATGGTTAACATTAAAGGCTTGTGAAATGTAAATACTGGATTATATGGGGAATTGGATAGTTTAAATTGGTGATTAACAACTTCATATTCATCTTTTTAATCTGAAGTTCATCTAAAATTTATATGGCTCAGTTGAAGTAATGCAATTAAAACAATTAAAATTCATTTCAACATATAATTTCTTTACCATTGAAATAACTTTTCTTCTAAACTTTGACATTTTTTAAAGTTCAAATGCTTTTGAATGCTTATGTAGAATTGCTCTTTAAATTTTCAGGGGCGACAGGAGATTTGAAAAACCAGGGCGAAAAGAGCCAGGTATGTGTATGTATTTTTTTAAATTGCAGTTTAGATGTGGCAGTCTGTTCTTTGATTTATCAATAATATCAGATTCATGTATCTAGAATATAGAAACAATTTTGGTATGTAGCTTATAGTGCCTTTAAGGTAATAAGATACAGCCTAGTCTGAAGGAAATAAGGGGAAGTAGGTTTTAGGTTTAGCCAAGTTGAAGTCTTGTACTGAGTTTCTGAAGACAACCTACATTAAACATTTAATGTTTTATTTCATTTAAAATTAATCCTTTTAATTTTGAGGTTGAGAGTTATTGTAAAGCATGATCCTTAATCTTTGGCAGCTCAAAGATTCCCACCCAAAAACATACCACTCTGCTCAACTAATCTGGCATGAAGACCCTCTTCTGCTGGTGGAAGTCTCCTCACTTAGTTAGCAGAATGCTGAAGTACAGACCAGGATTGCCCAGACTACATTTAATTTGTGATTTATTGGTTTGGATTGCATTGTTTATCCGATGGTAGTCTAGAAGAATGCAGATTTGCAGTTAGACAGAATATACATGTGCATTATATGTTAATGCATGTCATATTTCTAGTTTTTCATCGATCAGACTAATAAAAGGTATTTGGAGGAAAGTTCTCCATCGTGCCCTTTACAGAGACAGCAGAGTTCTTTCTTTGTTTCCTTCTAGCATTGTGGTATGCTTTTGAAAGTTGCTCGGGTTTTTTGATGAACAGTTCCTTTGTTGGCAGGTAGAAGACAGGATCCAAAGACTCTTCTGAGAGAGATTTTAATAGTGCCAGCAGCAGCTAAGCACCCACTCCTGTAGAAAGTCAGGAGGATTTGAGAGCAGAGATGTGCAAAAAACCCCCCAAAATGGTATTTTTGTGTTCAGGTATATTGAACATGGAAAATATCGGTATTTCCTGATATTCCCAAATTCAAATTTCGGTATGGTATGCAAGAATTCAAGAAATATTTTGGGAACCCGAATTTTTTCAGCTCCATTTTACCCCATAGGGGACCATTGGTTCCCATGGGGTATAATGGAGAATCAATCAGGGGCTCTGGGGGAGCTGTTTTTTTGCAGCATAGCTGCTGGTGCCTCTCCTCAGAAAACCTCCCAGATTTTAAAAAGATTGGTCCAGGGGGTCCAATTCTGTGGGCCCCCAAAGAAGGTGCCCCCATCCTCCATTACTTTCAATGCGGGGGAGTTCTGAGTTCACTTGTCAAGTTGTGCTGCCGCCACCGAGATGGGACTTGGAGAAGGCATTTAAAGAGACCCTTCTCCAAGCTGCGCTGCTGCCACGGTGCCATGACTCGGCTACTGAAAGACATTTAAAGAGACTGCAGCTTCTTTAAATGCTCTCTCCAAGCTGTGCAACTCAGCAAGTGAACTCAGAAGGTGTTTAAAGAGACCATGGTATCATTAAATGTCTTCTCATAGCCGTGCCCGAATAAAAGCCGAATAATATTGGCTTTTATTTGGGGTCAGCTAAATAGGTAGCCAAAAGTAGCTCTAATATTGGCTTTAAATACCCAAAAAGTACCGGTAAGGTATTTCTCAGGGGTTTTTTTGTTGTTCGGGTAAACAAATGCACACCCCTATTTGAAAGCCTAACACAGTTTGCCCTCCTTTGTATAAGGAGGATTTTTTAAGATGTCTAAATCCTGCATTTTGTAACAATGCCAGATTTCTATGGTGATCCGTGCCTGAAAATTGTATAAATCTTCATCTGTTTTTAATGCCCTTTGAATCCCCTTTAAAGCATCTAAGTTATTTGGTTTTGCTGTTCTATTTTTGTTCTTATGACTTAGTCTGGTAAGGCAGAATTAAAAGGCATGTTTCTAAATCTATTGTTTTTGGTCTTCCATAGCTTTAATTCATCTGGTTTCTTCAAGGCTTTGTTAAGTTTAGTAATGTTTGTTATCTGCTATATTAATATTTCGAAGTTTAATTTTTTACCATTTTTATAACACTTTTAATTGTGTAAACACTAAAGGATTTTACTAATTTTTCCTAACAAAATTGCTGTAGGGTAAATTAGGCTGCAAAATGACAGCACCCAAAGCATAAACCAGTGGGATTTAGGGCTGAGGAAGTACTTGGAGATACTGATTCAACAATATGCCTGCTACACAATAGAAGATACTCAATTTTTAGTACTTGTTCTCTATGAAGTAGTAATGAATTGCATGCGTATATGGTGATTACAGTATTTTACCATGCATCCTCTGGAGGTAGGACACAAAATGATAGAAGGATTTCCAGAGCATTTTTGTGCTATTTTGGTAGAATCCTAAGAGTTAAAGTTATGATCATTGTAAGTGTTTCTGCATTCCATCCTTTGTAGAGAGAAATGTTAAAACACTTGAAACCTAGAAATGAGACATTCATTTTATTTTAATTTATAATCTGCAGAAGCACAATAAATGCAACAAAAGATTCATAGTTTTTCCTCATCTACATATTTTTAGTGGGTACTCTTGGGCCAGTCACCTCTTCAGAGGAAATCATGGCAAACTTTCACAACAAGATTGTTTTGAGGTTAAATGAGATTGTAGATCATCTTTTAATTATCGATTTTCTAGATAAAAGATGTTTAAAAGAAAACATGGGGAGGATCCAGTGGAAGCTAAGCACTTTTCCAGTTGTCAGTGGAAGTTATTTATGTATCTGTATTGAAATCAGTAGGACAGAAATATGTTTAAGCCCTTAACGGTCAGGGACCTACGTACCTTTGGGACCGCCTCTCCTGATATGTTCCCTGAAGGGCACTAAGATCAGCAGATAAGAATCTTCTGGTGGTTCCTGGCCCCAAAGATATCCGGCTGCCCTCAACTAGGGCCAGGACCTTTTTGGCCCTGGCCCCAGCCTGGTGGAACTCTCTGCCAAATGACATCCATGCCCTGCCTGATTTTTTAAAGTTTCGCAGGGCATGCAAGGCAGAGATGTTCTGCCAGGCCTTTGGTTGAGGCCAGCAACGGTTCTTTACATCTGCCTGGCACCCCCCCTTCTCCCCCATGACTGAATGCTAGATATACCATCTTGTTTTAAAATGTTTTCTAATCCTGAAATGCTGAATGATTTATTATTGAATTTTTATGGTTTTAATGGGTTTTAGTCTGTTGTAAACCACCCTGAGCCCTGCGCAAGCGGGGAAGGGTGGTCAAGAAATCTAATGAAATAAATAATAAATAAATAATTTTAAGTGGAAAATTGATAAATATTGCTTGAGGAAGGGACAGGTACAGCTCAGATGCTCACTTTTTTAATATGATCAGTTCCAGAGAAATAGCCGTGGTAACTGCTACAGTGTCTTATGGAACTGGGGCTCTGGCACACTAAAGCTTATGCAGTGATAAAGTGATTAGTTTTAAAGTGCCAGAAGACTTTTTGTTGCTTTTCATATGGAAGTTAGCTACAGATCTCAGGATATTTTCAGTGTAGTCCTCAGTCAGTAGCAGTGCAGTCTTGTGCTGATTACTCTGCTCTAAGCCCACTGATTTCAGTGGGACTTGTCTACAGTTACTGCACTGGAAATTGCCTAACCCATCTTTATACCTTGTAACATGCACTGTGCTCAGATATATGCAGATAGCTCCAGATAGCTACTATTGGTTTACAAGAATAATTTGAATTTGTAAATCAGTATCTAAATCAGAAATTAGATTAGTATGATAAGGCAAACAAAATGACCATCTACACATGTAGAAAAGTATGAATATATTAAGCAGTGGGCTCTTCTCAAATACTTGTTAAAATTTTAGTGGGTGGGTGGATGGTTGGATTGCAATTTTTATTAAATTAGGGCATAAAAAGGTTAAAACTGCACACAGATTAAAAATTGTGGTTTTTTATGTGACTGATAATGTTGTAAAGGGGAGAGAAATCTTTAAAGTGACCATGATGAACAAAGAATATAGTGAGCATAAATACAATTTAATGTGTATTAATCCAAAATGGTGATTGCTATTGCTACTCCATCTCTGCATTGGGCTAAACCATTATTACAGTTCACCATGAATGAAAGATTAAAGCCTCAACACAGACAAGGGAATAATATGTTCAAAGCCCTATAAGAGAACATGAGCATCTACTGCTACAGTTCCAGATATAAATTACTTCTAAATATAAGGTTGTCATGACTGCTTCCTCTCTTATGTTCAGTTGCAGAATGCACTTCCTCCCATCTGAGTATAGGCTGACTACAATAGCAGGTCATTACATGGAACATCAGCATTATTAGCATTTAATAAAAAAACTTTTTCTCAGTTGCCTTAAGACCTTTTAGCAGTTAGAAGCTGACAGTCTGCATCATTATGACCACCTAGTTTTCCAGAGCACCCCCCCCCCCAATGTTAACAACTGACCATGGCCTCTAAATCTTTACCTTTAGTCACAAAACCATTCTTTTGATTTGGTAAAGAGAAACACAGTTTCTTAGAAAATACTTTCATGATATGGTTTGATAACAAGACATCAACACTAGTATATACATATAAATATGTTTATCCATGTTCAAGAGCTAAAGGAGAGGCTCTTCATAATTACAAGTCAATAACTAAATGGCCATTCGAAAGTAAAATATTGATACTTATGTTTTCTGACAGAAGCCTTTTAATTGTCCTTCCACATGAAAATATTTAGTGATGTTGATGATACTTGGTAGTTTTTCTTGGTTTTGAATAGAGAGTGATTATTGATCTCTCTCTCTTTAGCTGAAAAATCTGAAGAACCCATAAGAGTGTTTCTTTGACCATTCAAAAACAGTGTTCATTTTCAAAAATAGCATTAGTTCTGGTAAATGTTTCTAGTAATATGAAGCAAACTTGGCACAGGGCCTGAGTTCAGAGCCTCATAGTAAGCTTCATGTTTATATAATTATTTTAGAGTCACCAGTTGATCTCTGTATTGTTTGAACTGAGTATCTGCACAACAGTGTGTCCTTCTGATATCAGGACTGCAAGTTTAAACTTGTATCATAGCTGATACAAGAGGTGTTGATTGTACTTCATGA